CTCATCTGCTGGGTCATGCTGCCACTGCCTCCGTGTCCCGTCCTCAATTCAAAAACCGTGCTTTCCATGAGGAGCTCCCCACTTCCCATCAGGCAAGCCATGATAGGCAACCCAGGGTTGTACCATTCAAAGGGTTGCAGGAAATTCTACAGGAAAACAGCTTATTTAGAGCAACCAAACCCTTTGAACCATGATACTGGATACGCACTCACTAACTAACAATTTCCCTTCAAACAAAAGGCCCCATCACTGAATTTCCCACCCAAGCAGCAGGTATAAGTTGGACAAGCCCTGCGGCCAGGGGTTAATCCTAGATCCCCAAAAAACAGTCCCGGACCTTTGGGCTGACACCTCGCGCCGCTGCCCCTTCCCCCTTCCCCCTCCCACCCCCCCTCCCCCCCGGTCCGGCACTCGCGGGGCTGCGGCGCTCGAGAACGTACCGACAAACAAACAACAAGCTGGAAGCACACTCCACAGCTTGAGCCAGAACAAGGATCAATGCAGAGACCCCTGCACTTGCGACGATCCCAAATGAGTTTGGCGCGCCCTTAAAATGGCTTGCAGAAAACAAGAAGCGCACCCACGCAGGCGGGAGTACTGGTAATTCCCTCAAGAAAATTGCATCCTTGAAGCTCTTTATAGGTGTAAGCACGAGTGGTTCTCGCAATGGCGACAGTCAAGCGATTTCAACTGCTTTCCTTGCTTCACACCCCCGGTTGCCTCAGATTAAGCTTGAATACGGCTGAAGTGTACAACCCTGCACCATGTAAGCAGAATGGCTACACATACAAACCAACCATAGAGCAGGGAGGTGCTGGCGGATACTCGGGCACGTACCTGGGAGCAGGTGCCTCTTTCAGGGTCAACGGGTTGGGCCCTACGACTTCAGAAGACTCCAAGATCCAAGGTTGGGCAGTTGCCACTTGAGCGGCGCTTATTCCCTTTGCATCTCTTTGGACAAATTGTTCAAGCTGCAAAGGTCGCCGGCTTTCGGGGGGGGGGGGTGGTTTTCACCATTTGTTTCCGCTTCCGTCCGAAGCTCACGATTTGCAAGCTTTGATACTGTGTCTGCTTTACTTTACCTGCAGCTACTGGATTTCATGGTCTGCTGTCGACTATGTTTTTGGGAACCATTGTTTGGTGCATTAAGCTGTTTACCGCTCCACGCCATTCCGCGGTGTGTTTGAAACCAAAAGGAGGCGCGACATGTTCTTGGGCTCGCTCAATTATCACACATGCCTTTGCATCATCGGCATGAGGTCTATGACCCATTGGGCAAACACCCTCTAAATGAAGGGGTAACCATGGCAATTAAGAAGCGCCTAAGTCGAAAAGGTCCGCTGCTCTTTCACCTGCATCGTGGGCGTAAGTGCAAGTCCTGTGACTACAGGTTATCAGCGTACGGCACTCACAAGCCCGGAACTGTTGCCATCAAAGGACCTGGATGCATAAAAGGTACTCACCCGGAATTGCCGGGTCCAGAAATGTGCATCACCTGGAAAAACACACCGATCTGAAACTCAAGACCCCTCTTGACCAATGCTTTTGGAACTGAGCAAGCGTCCTGGCAAACGTTGCCACCAAATCCACGGCTGAGCAGGCTAAGGGCATCTCAATCATCAAAGCTCCGTTGGGGCAGGCACGATCACATGGAGGGATAGAGATCCGCAAGTAGCCTAAGACTTTAAGACCTTACGACGAAGGGCTGCCGCAGGCCGCATCGGGAACATGGTGCCGAGAAAAAAAGGACCGCGTGTAAAACGAGACAATTGAAGCCAGCCAAACCATAGAACCGCATCCCAAAGCAAACCGCGCCCTTCCAATCACACCCTACCAACATGGGCCTCTTTGCGCATGCACTGCCGATCTAAAGTCGGAAGCGGGCCACGTCGCAACGTCTCTGGAAGCTGCAAGCATGCCCGTGTGAAAAAAAAGGTGAGCTTCACCGAGCACCGTCAAAGACCCTGGCGTTTAAGCCGCGCAGAGCCAACCAAGAAAGGAAACGGCACATGGCCGGGCCCAGGCTTGCAACATGAGCAGCATTCAAAGTCCTGTCTGAATCCTCCATTTGCTTCTGTCTACTGCAAAAATAAACATATCCAGCGATAGCTTCCTTTTTCACACCAACAGGAGAAAATAATCTATCTTCTTAAACAAAATGGAAGGCCGAAACATCTTCCTTCCGAAAGCGTCGGCAAAACGGGGTTGGTTCATGTGCCTGCCACGGCAGATTCCTCAATTCAAGAAAACACTGCAGTTGTGGGCTTCAACAATCCTCCCCTTGGGTGGTTTCATTTCGGTTTGCTATTAGGAAAACATAGCAGCGTTGCATGCTGCCCACCGGCATATCATGTTGGCCTTTCCACGAATTCCGGCGGGTGCGGATGTGGCTTCCGAATGCCAGTCCCCGTCATCAAGGTTCCCACAACCTGGGATACAGAAGGAAGCACAAACATGAGACAGTTGAAGGTGTGTGGCAATAGTGCTGCTGGCAGTCTTTGCTCAATAAGTGTTAAAGGGAAGCAACAAAACAACAATTCACATCACAACTAGTTGTTGGGGTCCTTACGTGATCAAGACATGTAGCTCCACAATCCCTGTGGTAGTTCATGCGGCAGTTGTCCTCTCGTCGACGCCGGGGAATGGCCCAGAACAGCCATATCACGCACGAAGACTTGGCAGCTTGAGATTCCAAAGCCCGGGGGTCAAGTCACAAGGTATTCGAGAAAGGCTTTGATGATTGAAACGGGTTGTGGGGTACCACTTTAATGGATCTAAAAAGGACCCCGTGGCTGAGCTCAAGCGAACACCATGCAAGGTATCTGTTCAAACGTCCGGGCATGGGCATCTTGCCAGCGTGTATTGTGGCCTTCAACTAACTTGCGAGAAGCAGGTCCACAGGTTGCTCATGAAGCCAGATTCCCCGAACTCGGCTGATGCTGGCCGCAAACTGCGGCTTTGCCTCTACGTACATGTACATACTGTCGGATAGCGAAATGAGGCGAGAGATAATCCAACAAATGTTCGACCATGAAGAGGAAAAGGGGGAGATTTTCGGTGGGAAAACAATGTGGCTGCGGGGTGATCAAAAAACATGATTCCAAGTCTTGGCATTGCTAAACTCCTACAAATCGATACTAAACCAATCGATACGGGGAACCCTTTTTTCTCACCCTCCAAACCTTTTTTTGCAACCCTTCCCTGTTTTTTAACCCTCCCCCCTTTCTTTCTGACCCTCCACCTTTTCCTTTTAACCCTCCATTTCTTCCTGCGGCAACTGCACTAAGCAACGGTTTAGGGTTGGGTTGGTTTAAGAGTGGTTTTGGATTTAGGGTTGGTTTAGGGTGGGTTCGGGCGGGGGGGGAGGTGGGTTTAGGGTTGATTTCGGATGGCGGTTTTGTTCAGGGTTGTGTTGGTTTGGGTTGGGCGACCTCGGAATTAAGGCTAGTTTAGGGTGGGATTTAGAGGTGGGGTAGGATTTGTTGAGGGTGGGTTTAGGTTTGGGATGGGAAGGGTCGGTTTAAGTTTAAGGTTGCTTTCGAGCAGGTCTGTGCTGGGTTTTTGGTGAATTCAAAGTTGGATGAGGGTGGGTTTTTGGCTTGGAGAATGGGTCTACAGTGGGTTTATGATTGGTTTAGGGTTGGTTTAGGATGGATTTTGGGTTTGTTAAGGGTGGCTTTGGAATAGGTTTAGGGTGAGGTCAGGGTTGGGATTAAGGTTGGGTTTACATGATGTTAGTTTAGGGTGGGATTAGGGCTTGTGTCGAAAGGCTTCAGGGTGGATTTAGGGGTGGGTTTAGTGTTGGCCTAGAATCTGTTTGAGGTGGGCTTGGGGTCGGCTTTGGGTGCAGGGTTGGATTAGGTTGATTTAGAGCAGGATTTCGGTGGGTTTGTGTTTGGTTTAGGTGGTCTAGTGGTGTAGGGTTGGTTCAGGGCGGGTTTGCGGTTTGTCTGTGTCCAGGCTGGCGTTGGGGTTGTGCTAGGGGAGGCTTGGGTGGCTTGATTTCAGGTGGGCTTAAGGTTTTTAAGGGTATGTTGCTCGTTTGTTTTGGGTTGGTTGTTCTGGGATGGTTTCGGATGGGGTTTGGGGTTGGTTTAGGCTTGGATGTGGATTGGTTTTGCGGTTGGCCTAGGGTTGGCTTCACTGGATTTAGGGTTGGATCAGGGTGGGTTCATGGTTGGTACAGGCTTATGGTTGGCTTAAGGTTGGTTTGCAGTGGCTCAGGGTTGGTGAGGGTTGGTGTAGGGCTGGCCTATGTTGGTTTCTGAGTTTAGTGTGGGTTTAGCGTTTTTAGGGTGGGGAGTTATGGTTGTTTTTTGGGTGAGTTTAGGGTGGGGGCGAGGTTGGTTTCGGGTTGGTTTTTGCTGGGCTTGAGTTTAAGGTTTGTTTTCGGGGTGGTTCGGGATTAGTTAAAGCTGGGTTTAGAGTGGGTTTAGGATTGGGTTAGGGTTGGCTTAGGGTTGAGGGTTGGTTTTGGGTCGGTGGGTCTGTTCAGGGTTGGTTTAGGTTGGGCTTCGGGTTGCGTTAAGGCTAGATTATGGTGGGATTGGGGTTTAGGTGGGTTTGGGGTGGGTTTCTTCTTGGCTTAGGCTAAGCTTACTAAGACCAGCCGCGGCGCTTGCCGACAAGTTATAGCAGTTAGCAAGTAGGCGGCAACCGGGCGGCAAGCGCTCGGCAAGTGCTCGGCAACTAGCTCAACTCGGGCATAGTCATTTCCAACACTTGCGGGGACATATAATCGTTCATTGGACTTGTTATTTGTTTTTAAGTTATGGTAAGTTTTTATTAAGTTTTCGCATCTAGATATAAGTTTCGATAGTGGACTTTTAAGCTAAGTTGAGTGAGTGTAACTCTTGATGAGTTTTGCTAACTTTTTATAACTGTTTCTTTTTTTTTTCGAGTCGGTTTTCGTTGATCGCCACGTAAGCTGTGCTTTGCAAACTCGCCATGTTTTGGTAGCAATCTGCTGAGAGCTTTGTGCAACATCGGTGCAGCCAGCGTTGGCCTCGGCTGCGGTTTTGTGAGAGGATTACTGAGAGCTTGAGCTATATTAGGATCAAGTGCATACGCGGGGCCGCCATGTCATGACGCCTAATTTGGCACCAAGACCCGATCTGCGCGGTTTGCTACGGCTGGAAATTTGAAAGCTATCTGATGGGCAAAGACGCGTCAGCTTTGCAGCAAGCAGCCAAGGACTGCAAGTGCGATCTGGGACCGGTGGTGCCGACGACGCCGCCTCCGAACTCCAAACGAGACATTTTTGAGGCGGCGCCGACAACGCCGCCTCCTAAGTCCAAACAAGGCTTTCGCCCGTCATAAGGCAAGCGCGCATCCGCGAGGAAACGCGGCGGCTTCGTTGTTGTTTGGCGAAAATGCAAAAAAGCGGCTCAAATGAAAGGATCCCCTGTCTCATCACGGGGGTTTTGTTTGGAGAGTTTTGAGGGGGTGAGAGCTTATGAGAGTTTTCAGGGTTTGAGAGTTGA